CTGTGCTTATAGGTTTCTTCTATCTAGACCAGTGCTATAGAAACTGCCCTCAGTGTGTGAACACTTGCTACTGGTCCATGATGAGGTAAGTAACAGAAATTGACAGTAAGCATTTAGAAACTTGCACAGCAGTTTCACAAAGTAATTTGATGTTTGTTGAATCTGATATTAAATAATATGGGCTTGTATTTTGTATGTTATTTTTATATCATTTTTCAGTAATACATTTCTATTTTATTTTATGAAAGTATTAGTCCATGATCAGTTGATAAAAACTAGGCCACCTCACCACAGAAGGTTTGAGAAGCTCTGGTCAAGGCTGCCCTTCCACCCCCATCCTTAGAAGAGCTACCAACTGAAACCATGCTCATCATTCATGGTTCAGCTCCAACGACGCTTCCTTTGTGAGTTTCCCCCTAACGTCTAGCTTAGAAAATGCTTGTACATTTGTCTATGTAACCATAGCACTTTGTTTAACACCCTTCTGTGGTACTTACCATATTGTGTCTTCTATTAGCAACACATGGGTCTTTTTCCCAAGGTTAGTTGTGGAAGGCAAGAACCCTTAGGCAAAATATTCATTAAATGTCTCTAAGACGAGACACAGTTTTTACATACTAAATAAAAGGAGTGGAGAAATGCTTTCCATTCTTTACATATTAGCAAAATATGTAAAGAATAAGGTACTCAGAATAAGGTCAAAGTTCCTTGCCCGGAACCTACACTGGATGGCATCCTGCTCACACTTGAGATGGGCCATTAGCTCAACACCTGAGACCACAGCGTCATGCTTTTGCTGTGCTGTGACCACTGTTGGGGCACCATTTCGATCCTCTCCGTCTGATTAATACCCGTGCACGCTGCAAGACCCAGCTCATGTATCTTTTCCTTCAAAATCTATCCTAACCCCTCTTTCCTCTGGCCTTCCACTGCATTTTATACATCCTCCACCTGGACACCTACCATGTTAAACTGAAATGATCTGTTTAAGTGCCTCCTTCCCCACCCCTTGAGACTATAACCTTCTTGAAGACAGGGACAATATCTTGTGTCCTCCGTGCCATGCACAGTGTATGCCACATGTCAGTGTTCAAAAACACCTTTTACCTGCTCATTTTGAAGCACTAAAAACAAACAAACAAGCAAGCAAAATGAGAAACATAATTGTTGGTTCCTGGAGCTATCAGGCTAGCCAAAGCAATCAGAGAAAGGCTAATTTAGCTTAGCCTGAGAGTAAAATTACTGACTGTAGATCAGAAAATCAATGGAGAGACATACAATTAAAATCAGTGGCTTTCTGTAGGAACGGATATTTTCTTTTGTTAGGGAGTGCAGGAATTAGAGATTCAGATTCTGAATCAAGTATAACTGAAGTTATTATAGGCTCTATTACTCTAATAGGAAAATTCTCGGTGCTGATTTATAGAAGGTCCAATAACCAAGACTCTGACTTCCCACATAAAATCCAGTCAAGAAGCAAAGGAAGGTCACTGGTGAGAGCTTTCTTAACTGAGAGGAACAATGTGCTACAACTGAGCCACATGCTGAAGCTGATGGTGGCAACCTCATTTCCTGGTCCTCAAATCTCAGCCAGCCACCCGGAATCAATGCGTGGGCCTGAAGCTGTGCTTTGGAAAGTCATCTCAAATGATGATTTGCTAGTTCCCATCCAGACTTTGTACTGTTCACCAAGGAAACACTCATGGTTACGGGGGTTACACAGAGACCTCAAAACAGCTGGCAGATATTACTGAATCAGAGACACCCAGAACTGGTAGAAGACAGCAAAAATGGGACCAAATCAAACCCTTCTCATTCAGGTTACGATCTAAAGATTCATATTCCAGACAAGGCCCTGTCCATCCTGACTGACTGCTATGTTTTTAACTAACACTATCTCTTTAAATTGAGTACTAGATGGCCTATATCTGAGAATAACACCTCTGTGCATTAAAAATAAAAATAGGGGGAAAATGCTGTGTTGGCATTTGGGTAATGATGCAAAATGTTTTATGAGTGTACGGAAGAATTATACTTTTTACAGAATTGCAGAGGAAGACAATAATAAAGCAGATGATAGAGGCCTGACCTTTGGGTTAGACACTTGCTTCACCAGCCACATCTTTCTAATCCCCAGTTCCCTCATCGAGATAACTATAGGCTTTGGTTTCTTTATCTGTCAAACCTAGGGCATAATCCTTACTGGGTGATTATAAGGATTAACTAGTACAATGAACATAAAGTTCTTGACTGGGTGCCTGGCCTGTAGCCTGGCTGATGAATACCAAGTACAATGAAGGCAATGATGAAACTAATTCTTCAGTAGAGAAAGCTCTGTACTCAGCACTGTTTGAAATGGTTTATGAGCATTGTCTGAGTTAATCTTCCTAATTTCCCTGTTCTTTGTCACTCGCACTTTACAGAACCCAGGCTGTCTGGCTCCAGAGCTGGCACTATTAGCCACACAGAGACAATGATGATGATGGAGGAGACCTTGATGATGATGTTGATATGTGAGGCCTGGCACATGGTAACTCCTGGATAGGTGCTTGGTATAATGAAAATGCTGGATTATTTGCAAAGATTTCTAGAGGTGGAAGTGCTAATCCATTTTAGGTACTCTTTCAAGGATTAAATCACTTTTATTCCCTTTCTTGTCTCTTAAATTTTTTTCTTGCTGTTACTGAAACCTATTTTTTTGTTCTTTTTTCAGATTTCTAGGAAAGAAGGAAATAAAAATCTTCCTGAAATAGTTACTCTATTTAGATTACTAACCCCAATTCCTTTACATATTTTTATAGGTGCCAATTTCTTGGTTGCCATCTATTTAATCTTATTGGTTGCTTTTCCTTGAGCCAGTCACAGCTTTCTTTAATTTCTGTTTGAAAGGTAAAAGTAAAACTGGATACTGTTTTCTGGTACTGGTATTGTCACTGGGGTGTTTAGCAGTAGAGTCATTCCTGAGTGCAAACTCTCCTAACCGAGGCTTAATCTGTGTTCTACTGCAAGAAGTCACAGCAGTAGATCTGACTTTTCTTCCTATGGCAGATCTTGTAAATGTAATCATTTATTTAAAAGGGTTGATCTGAGGATTAAATGTGATGATGTTTGTAAAAGTAACTATAGTATGGTGCCCAATAAATACCAATGAAGACATCTACTAATACCAGATGAGGATTCTGATTCCCTCAATTAACAATGCATTCTTGCATCTCTTTCTAATTCTGTGAATCCTCTAATGACCTGTTTGTCCACAGGGTAAAACCCAATGTTATTTGCATGTTCTCACAGCATCCAGGGCTATTCATGATCTGGTCCATACCACTTAGCCAGCCTTCTCCCCTGCCAATGTCTCCTATCACATATATGCTCTCCTTAGTTATGCTGAACAACTTGCACTTGTACATACTGTGTCCTATGTCTGGAATGTCCTGACCCCTCAAGCAAATTCCTAAACATTTTCAAGACTGAACTGAAGTGTAACATTTTCTGTGAAGGCTTTTCTCATTTATCTCACAGCACTGTGTACACACTTCTCTATAGAACTTAGGAAATGGTTTGCCTATTTGTTTTCCTTAAGTTCCTTCTTTGAGGTCAGGGCCTGCATTTTATTTTTCTACCATTAATGCATGGTGTGCATCAAGAACTGAAAAAATGAATGCATGACTGAATCATATTCATTCCTCAGTCTTAGTACAAGCACCATCTCCCATTACCCTCATCTTCTATGAACTACACATTTTGGCTCTTATTTACCTATTGTCTTGCCTTGGAGCACAGAGCTCACCTAGCAGCTGCCCTCAATGCCCAGAGCAATAAGCACTAGTTAAATGAGTGACTGTAGAAGAAAAGTCAACCACTCAACTGTACACATAGTTTACATAAAATGTTACCCTGTTGTATCTTAAATAACAGTATTATGGATTTTTTTAAAAAGAGCAAATGACTTAATTCTTACATTCACCAGATTTTGAAATAAGGAATTTAGTTGGAAATTATAGAACTTTTCCTAATCTCCTGATGCAGTTTATATCTTTTTTAAAATGATGCTTTCCCAAAGTTTTGGCTTAAGATGGTGGATTAAAACTGCACCATGTCACTTCTTACCTCCAATTCTTAGCAAATGATGAAAATAACCTTCCATATCCCCCCCAAAAAGAACAATTACAAACAAGAACCGAAGAGGAAAATGGTGTAACTAAAGGGAATCAACTTCAAACACTACACGGAAAGGACACAGAAGGTTCCAGAGTAGAGTGGAGAAGCATGTTATGGACTAGCTCTGAACCCTGCCCCTTTCCCCCTGAAATGAGGTGTGTCTGTCTGTCTGTCTCTCCCCCCCAAAAAAATAATGTTACATGACTTGTGATTTTGGAGAATACCTGGCTCTTCCTTAGTTATCTGTGCAAACTGCCCAGACACCATATCAAATGTAAAATTTCCAAATAATAAGCCTTTGCTTAGGAAACACTGAAGCATCTTAATTGATACTTTCAGGCGCAATAGCAATGTTAATTAGTTCTGGGGCAACCAGTCTGTAAAACTGCAAAAAGGTAGGCAATCTAGGGGCCAAGGGAGGGCAGGAGGAGGAGGAGGCCAGAGGCACAGAGAATGCATAGCCTGGATGACCCAAAGTGCTCCTCCATCTCTCTAGACGATGACAGTGAAATGATTTCTAGGGGAATTCTATTTGTGAATTTCTAGTCGAGGTGAGATGCTCACAGATCTAATATGTGGGGAATCAGGGAGCATGACATCTTCTGGGGATACTGGTCAAATCACTGCTTCCTGGACAGAGGGAAAGGTGAACTCTAATCTTTTGCCTTGGAGAACTCAACTAAGAAAGTCATGGAGTGACCCACAGCTTTATGCAAACATTTTGGCATTATTTTTTTTTTCCTGACTGGTTGATTAGGGTTCAAATAAATTTCTCCAAAAGTTTTAGGATCAGTTCAGTTTCAGGTCCAGATTATTTCCATGGTCTATAAATGGAGGATTACCTGTAAATTATCCAGGATGATTCGGAGAGAGTGCACCTGCCTTCGGACAGCACCTGAAAACCTTTCATAAGTAGCGGCATCATATTCACTCATTTGGATCTCCTTCAGCCTGAAATCAAAGCGGGCAAAAAAAGACAACTGCTGAAATCATGTACAGGTGGGTCTCTTTGCTCCATTAGTCTGCTGCTAGAACTGCAGCAAACTTCTTGGTAATCCAGGTTGCCTTTGAGGAGAAAGGCAAGTGGTGATGTCTCCAGCTAGGAGTTTCAAAAGAGAGCAAAGGCCAGGTAAATGGTTAACAAGTCACCCTTCGAGACAAAATAGAAGTCTTGATTTGTAGTATCTGCTAATTTTGTACATGCCATGATGGATTTTAAGCTGCCAATGATGAGTTCACCAACACTGAGTTAGACAGAAATGTGCACCACTGGCACTCATACCAAAGATGGGCCTCGATGGTGGTAGCTGGTCAGTTCATGAGAAAGCTCCTAGTTGCTTTTTGTTTTTTGTAAATCCTCACCCTCACCCAGGGATATGTTTATTGTTTTTAGAAGAGGGGGAAGAGAGAGAAACATCAATCGTATGAGTTCCAACCAGCGATCTAACCCGTAACCTAGGTATGTGCCCTGACCCGGAATCGAACCGCAGCCTTTTGGTATATGGGACATAGCTCCAAACAATGGAGCCACCTGGCCAGGGCTCCTAGTTGCTTTTAAGACCAAGGACATACATTTGGTTGACAAAGATAGTAGTTGAGGTCCAAAGAATGTAATTTAATGTGTTGCTATGGAAAATACAGGAGTTTTCTGAAATTGCTGACTGTGTACTTTTAACAGGATAATTGTAACTTAATATTGTGGCTTTGAGATTCCTTCCTCCCAGTACAGCGCTCCTTTTACTGTCTTTCATTTGCTTCTGCTGCGGCTCTGCCAGTGCACTTGAGGTTCCCTGAACACATCATATACTTGTGTTGGAGCTCCCACACAGGCTTCTCTCCCACGCGGAGTGCCCTTCCCTGCCTCCTTGCCTACCAACTCCCACATACTTGTCAAGAATCAAATCCATACTCACCTCTGCTAGGAAGGCTGTTTGGACTCCTCATTTAAAATGCAGCATATTAAACTAATCAAGCATAGAGGGTTCATTCACTAAGTGAAGCACCCTTGGGTTTTACAGTGTCATATTCCTAATACAGTAATTTTATTACACATTTCTATAAATTTCTATGAATGCAAAGGGTGCTGATACTAGAATAGGGAATACTGAAAGTATATCTCATAAGACCACAACATGGTCTTCTAAACTACTGCATGTGTATATATATGTGTGTGTGTGTGTGTGTGCGCGCACACATGCAGTTAGAGGTATGGATCCTACGTATATAGCTGAAACTCTTATCTAAAGTATACTTTTATCATCTTGGGCTGCAGTGAGAATGAATGGTCTCTATTCCTCCCTTCCAGGCCAAGCACTGGGAAGACTCCACCCATCACAGGACAGACGGCTTACTAGAAGCACATAATGTTAGGCCTGCACCCCCATGGGGCAGATTTGCATCCCTGCCCTACACCCAGCTGGGTTAGCTATCGCCAGTTCAGGTTTCAAGACCCAGCTCAAAGGCCACATCCTGTGGACACTTGCTTGACCTCTCCAGTAAAGCAATCCTGCCCTTTCACGTGTCTTCTACAGACATCTATTATAGAACCTGTATACTTTATTGCTTTTAATAGCTATGCATGTTTCTACCTGTCATGGTGTTTTCAAACTTTATTTTCCACAGTAAGAATTATGCTTTAATATACTTAGATACAGTTACACACAAATGCATGTGTGTATGTGTTTTTAACTGAACCAAAAATTTAATGAAAAATGTTTACTACATGTAATACACTCTGATATTCTCTTCAATTTCTCTGGGAGAAGAAACATGTCTTATGTGTTTTCTCTGAATCTGCAGTACCTAGCACAATGCCTGGCACATAGTGGCACTCAATAAATGTTATTACATAACACTTTGAAAACACTGACTATCAAAAGATAAATACCTGAAAGTTAATATCTGAATGGTTGTTTCCTGAGGTCACATGCCAAGGTGCCCTTTTAAATTTACTGTTCTGAAGAATAAAACCGAATATGTGTATAGAACTTGACCTCCTAACAATACTTCTTCTGTTTAGTTTTGGCAAAATCTTAAACCTCTCTATAAACTTTCATTAGATTAACTGACGTCTCAAGTATCAAGGCTGACAGCACCTGGGCACAATGACTATCTACCCCTTCACACCTAGAAGGCCAACATGCTCTTTCCCAAAGAATAAAGATTAATGCTTTTCCGAAGAAGAGAGATTAGAATAAAAATTATAGACACAGCTTGTCCTTAGCAGAGAGAAAAAAATACCCCCCCGCCCCCAAGGAAGGAGCCAGGCAGTTGGTAAGTCACCTTAAGCAGAATGATCTTTGTATAGAGGTCAGAATTAGCTCCAGTTATAGGTCTATCTCTGGCACAATCATATTGCACCCCAAAACACATCACATGCTGCTTTAATTATGAAGACACCTGGAAATCATATTCCAGGTTGTGTCAGCATTTAGAAAGATCACCTATAAGGTGTTCAAAAGTAATAAATTCTGAAGGATGAAGACCAAAGCAGGGAATGGGGAAAGAAAATAGGTAATGTTAGCCTCTGGATCAGAAAAGCTTCCCAGTGTTCCCATATTCTCAAGCCCACAAAACTAGCTGAAAGTAAGTCTTTCTGCTGTTTTAACCTGGATCAAAGCTGCACAGCACAGCTGCTTCACATCCTAGTAATCTATGCAGACTAAACTGCACCTTGCTGGCCCAGTATGTTCTTAAAGGGTATATTTATTGCTATGTAAGAGTCTGGGAATTTTAGTTTTCATTTTACTTTTTTTGTGTAGGTCAGCCTTAAACACTATAATTTTGGATCAATTATGAGAAAAACAAACATAAGCTGAGATCCACTGTGTAAGGCTGATTAGTTTTGCAAATGGTAGTTGGTACGATTTCCACAGCTGGCGCCCACCTAAAGTGCTTTTCTAAGAATGTAAAAGTACCTTATCATCTACTTCATTCATGTTTTGATGGTTTAATGTTTCTGTTCAGCTTCATGTATGTCTTATGCGTCTCTACCTTTGGTATTCTTCCTGAGTTAACCCATTTTGATGTATATAAACTAAGATCTAGATGAAATCCAGATACAAATGAATGCTAACTGAATGCTATGCTGATGATGTCAAGAACCCATCAGTAGTATTAGGCTCTTCAAGGTGGACCTCTGGGCTGATGGACAGGTCTGGCTGTCAGTCTGGTTTTAGCCAGACTCTGAGTTAACAGTGATACCAATACTTGTATGCACTTATACATTATTCACTCTACAATGTGCATGAGTGTTTGCTGTGCATCAGGTTCTGGGTGTGGGCACTGAGGATATATGGAGTCTGTCCAGAAAGTATCCAGCCATGTACTAGGAAAAACAGAAACATTTATTGAAGAAGATACAAGATATAAGAAACATTGCACGCAAGACAATGATGCTTCAGTCCCCTTTAAAGTAGACACTGTGGGACCTCACACAGTTCTCCCAATTGCCATCAGCTGCCCCGTTGTAATTTCCTGAATCCCATCGATGGTCTGAAAACTCTTCCCTTTCAAAGATGATTTTAGTTTTGGGAAAAGCCAGAAGTCACAGGGTGCCTAATGTGGGCTGTAGGGGGGCTAAATCACTTGGGTTATTTGATGTTTTACCAGAAAACTCTGTACAAGATGTGATGCGTGAGTGGGTGCGCTGTCGTGATGAAGCTGTCAATCACGTTGCCCATAGCTGCGGCTGTTTTTGTCATATTGCATCTCTCAACTGACGAAGAACATTCACATCGGACTCCTTGTGAATTGTTTGGCCTGGAGAGGCATACTTGTGATGGACAACACCTTCCTAATCAAAAAACATAGTTAATATGGTTTTGATTTTGCTGTGATTTGACATGCCTTCTTCAGGCATGGAGAGTCAGACAACTTCCATTTGGACGACAGGACCTTCGTTTCCAGCTCACAGCAGTAGATCCACCATTCTTCTCTGATTATGACCTTCTCTAGGAAATCTGGTTTGTTGATAGCGGTTTGAGTCAAGTCATTAGCAAATGTAGCACAATGTTCCTTCTCTTCCAGTAGGAGAAGCTGCAGAACCAATTTTGCCATGACATGTTTCATGCCAAGATCCTGCATCAAAATCTCGGACACAGTAGTTTTTGTTAATCCCCAGATCAGCTTCTAGTTCTTGCACTGTGAGTGGCCGATCTTTGTTGATTGCAGGCCATACACAGTCAACATTCCCAGGGGTTCTGTTTGTTGCAGACCTTCCAGAATGTGGATCACTTTCAACAGATTCTCAACCATCTTCGAAGCATTTGTGCCACACTTTTATTTGTGCTACACTCACTGCATCATCCCTGAAAGCCTTCTGAATCATCTGAATAGTTTCTGTGGAGGAATGTTCAAGCTTATAGCAAAATTTGATGCAGATTCATTGCTCTTCTCGCTCATTTTGACTGAGATGGCCACACAGTACACATGCTCACTCACAGTGTCTACTACCCCCACTGACTAGTACAGTGAAGTCATCATTGTTCATGCATGAGTATTCCAGTCCACACTCTTGGGCTGCCAGGTTACACTGATGTCGCACAAACTGCTCTTGTTATATTAGCAATGGCTAGAATTTTTCTGGAAAGGCCTTATATTATAGAGCAAAGCACCCTGCCCTCAAGGAACTTAAAGTCAGTAAAGAGGCACACAACTATTTACACAACTACTAACATAATGGAGAATAATAAGAACTATGGAGAAAAGGTATAAAAGCATAAATGAAGACCTTACTTCATTCTGCATATGTTCAGAGTTGCAAAATAGTTTTAAAACTGACTAGTTGGCCCTGACTGGTATGGCTCAGTGGATTGGACACTGAACCACAAATTGAAAGGTCAAAGGTTTGGTTCTGAGTCAGGGCACGTGCCTGGGTTGTGGGTCAGGTCCTCAGCTGGGGGTGTGTGAGAGGCAGCTGAATAATGTTTTCTCTTGCACATCGAAGTTTCTCTCCATCTCTTTCTCCCTGCCTTCCCCTCTCTTTAAAAATAAATAAACAAAATCTTTAAAAAACTATTTGATGAGAATGAAGAATTATTACCTTTTTAGACACAATAATAGTATTGTGTATTCAATAATAGTATTATGTATATGTGTTTTTTTAAAGTCCTTATTTTTCAGAGATAACATTCTGAAATATTTACAATGAAAAGATAGGACATCTTAGACTAGCTTAAAACAATCCAGAGGTGGGGACTGAGAGTAAAGTCTGAGTTTTCTTTTTGAAGATGAGGAGACAAGTCCATAGGATTCATTATACAGGGTGGGGCAAAAGTAGGTTTATAGTTGTTTGTATGAAAAATAATACAATAACTAAATAATAACACAAGAATAAACTGTGTCATATACTCACAACTACAAACCCATTTTTGCCCTACCCTGTATGTTTCTATCTACTATTGTTTATTTTTGAAAAAGTTCTATAATAAAAAGTTATAAAAATATCTTTAGCAGAACTAAATTGAATACTCATCAAATGGGAGAATTTACCACATGAAAGGAGAAAGCAACGTTTTTCTCTCTGTCTTGTGCTATGTCCTGTCTTTCCCTGGGGCTCTGTGTGTTTTTATTTCTTCTTCTCCATTCTCATCCCCTCGTCTACCCGCTCTGTCTTTCACCCTCTTTGTGGTATTCTCTTTTACTTGGGCTTAGATTCTTCCCCCCAGCATTTTGTACAGGTATATTGATTACTCATTTACTCCTTTTCTACTTTTTCTCTTTCCTCTCCTACATCCACTAAATTTAGTTGTGTTGTCATCACAGATGCTCCTTGAGTTCTTCTGCCTGTGGGGCAAAAGCCCTAATAGAACCAGTTTCCTTCATCTTATTATGGAAACCGGAGCAGGGGCTATATACTTGGGCCCAAGCACTGAAAGGCCTTTCTGACTCCCTGTGAACTACTCATGTGTCAGAGCATCTATCCATCTGTCCACTTACTAAAACGTTGAGACTGGATATTTACTTGTGAGCTTCTGAGTGTGGCAAAAGCAGAAATTTACTAGTCAGGGAGAGGAGAATGATGAGTATCTAATTGTTTTGTACTTTTCCTAAATGGATACTGTTTATATGAAATGTACAGTGATATTTTAATTCTAACAAGACCGTTCATTATAGAATTCCTCCCACCTTTTTTTTTTTTTAGAAGTTTAAACTATTTGCATTTCTAACATGGTTATCTGTCGTCATAAACTCTCTGAGAAGCAGGGAGAGGGAGTCAACTATTTCCCAAAGAGCAAATTTAGGCACAGTGAAGTAGATGATTGTTCAAGGTCACCAGGAAAGCTGGCAGAAGGACTGAGGGCAACATTTTTGCCTTATGTACCTGCTGAGTACATGAGGGTCCTAAGGCTTGCAGGCTTTCCTGTGAGCGTGGCAGGAGGAACCTGCATGTTTGTCCCCATTGTTCTGTTCTGTTTACTTGCAGGATGTGTAAGCACAGCATGTAATGTAATACCAGATGTTCTACGTGGGAGGAATTTCATAAATCACATACACTTGAGCATGCCTTTTTTTGGACTGAATCCAGCTCCTTTCATTGAGCACAACAACATAAATCTGCCTCCCAAACCACTGTACATTCCCCCTATCCTAAACGAGATATTGCTGCCCCTTTGGCATTTTTCACTTCTAGCTGAAGAGCATATGTGGGTGTCTACTGAAAGCACCATGTGGCTTCTTATTTTTTTAGATGGTTTCAATCAAAGTGGCCCGGAATGGTTCAGAGTTGTCTGAAAGCCACAGGCTCTTCAGCCTGATTTCAAGCCCTCCACCCACTGACGGGGCCTCCCTGTTCAAACTCATTCCCCACCACCCCCAGCTGGTGCCTTTAATCTAGAGAAGGAAACTGGCTCCCTCCACCATAGACACTACGCTCATCCTACCCTGGTGCCTCTGCTCGTTTGGTTTTCCCTTCCTGGAGTGTCCTAATCCTGGTCCACAAATTCGGGTCTATTCGGGGTTGACTAGGACATTTCACCATAGCAGCCAGCACTGCTCCAAAGGCAATGGGGACCACTCACCTCTGTTGAAACGCTTTCTGGCCCATCTCTCTTGCAGCTCTCTTCACCTCCTCGGGAACGGCATCTTTCTCAGCCTCGGAGACCTGGTACACTGCGTGGCCTGCATCCAGCCGGTAAGGACCTCCTTTGCCGCCCAGGCCTGCAGTGTCTCTCCCCCCTGGGAGGAAGCCAGGAAAATCCAGGTCGTTACTCTGACCCAGACCACCGAACAAGTCAGGTCATGGTCAGGGCAGTCCCGTGAAACGTACCGGTTGTACTTAACTGATAATTAAATATTCAAATGACGTTCTTCTGGAAACAAAGGGTGTCCCCCTGTTCAGAATGCTTTTCTATTTTCTCCATCCAGCCAGATATTATCCTTATTTCAAGGCTCAGTTCAAATTCCATGAATGTCATCTTACGATTGCCTCACAAGGGTCAATATTCCTGTGCACTACTTGTTAACTTTTAAAATTCATTTTTCTTTTCTCACCAACTATATGATGGATGGGATCATACTTTATATATCTTTGTACCTCTGTACCTATAAGAGTGGCTTGAACGTCAAAAATACTTAGTACATATTTGTTAATTAAATAAAGAACACTTCTCTTCCGTCATGTTACTTCAGTTTTCCTTAAGATAAGAAAGAGACAGCTAGGCTACAGATAACATTTCTTCTACATTGTAAATGATAAAAATGATGCACAGAGAGCCTAAGAAACCTGCTTACAACCTGATACTAGTGGCTTAGCCAATATTAGAAACTAATCATGAAACCAACCTTGAGTTTTATCTTCAAATAATACACTGCAGATAAGCACTGCCAGCTTCAGAGCAGTTTTCCAGTACAGACCCAAGTTCAAAAGCTTGTAAGTGTGCATTACATAATAGTATAAAAACTGTTTATGATGTAAATATAAATTAAATGTCTAGAAGACTAGGTAAGTAATGTTATAAGAAGTGATGAGAACTTGAGCTAACTAGAGAGGACTTGCTTTGTTTAAATACATTCAAATTATTTTAAAACACTACATTGACCTAAAGAATACATATATTGGCCAAGATCTGGTCTCTGGGCTACCAGTTTATTACCCCAGCTTTATAATAATTAAAATACTGTAATCTGTTTCTTTTGTTCATTCACACATAACCTGGGAACTTAGAAGGGAATCCAGTATTGGGGGAGGGGCAGACCAGCATAATATAATGTAAGATACTAGTATTATATAGTGTTGTGTTGTACAGTCAAACTACACTGCCTGAGTTTGTATCCGTACTCCAATGCACTAGTGATATGTCCTTGAGGGATATCCCTTAACTTCTGTGTCTCAGTCTCCTCATCTGTAAAATGGGGTTACTACTATAATTTACTTCATGGGATTGTCATGAGGCTAAAATGCTTAGAACAGTATTTGGCACAAAGTAAGAGCTATAATAAGTGACTGATCTTACTAGTATCATTTAGGCAACTCCCAGTTACATAAATGAGGTAATTTCTAAGTTTCATAAAGTGGAAAATACGAAAGCTTTTAGGCTTTGGTTAAATTATGTTACATTTTTATTTTCTCTGTTGGAGCCTTAATTGGTATAACAAGTCAAAAGCAAGAACTCAGCCTTGTACAGCTTTCCTTATCAAAGTCCAGGTAGGTCATTTCCTTTTGGGAAATACCATGAGAACAGCCTATTAATTATAATATTTTTACCCTTTGGCAAAAGGCGAAAGATTTAAACAATCTGAAGAGAAACCAGACTGTGTATTTTTACTCTTTGGTTTGAGTACATCTTATTTAATTCTTGTTTAGATACTGGCAGGTGGAAAATTCCTTCTTGGATGTGTGTAATTCCTGGCTCACTCATGGGTAACCTATAGGCAGAGGGGACCAGTTACTGGACAATAACAATGAGCAACAGAGGAGGAAAAGCTGTTCATGTGATCCAACTCCCTTCCTATGGAAGGTTCTCCTCAGGAATGGCTGGCTAATGAATCAGAGCTTTTGGCGCTGAGCTGACATCATCTTTGGAGGAAAAAGCCTACTGTTTGGAAGCTGGTGTGAGTGATGGTCAGCATGAGCCACATGGTCCCTCAAGACAGTCATACTGGTAGAGAGGGTGTGAGGAGAGAGTTCTTCATAACTACCACTTCCAAGAACCTTCATTTGTACTAATTTAATATAAATGCTTGCTGGGGGTTCTAGACTTCAAGGCATAACCTTGAAGCTAACAGTGAATATCCTAAATCAGTTCACAGATAAGTAGAGATGGGCTGGGGAGGGGCTCTGACGATGAAAAAGGAATCAAATGACTTGTTGGGTCAGAGCTCAGTTCAATATAGAGAATTCTGTGGGGAAAGAATGAGGGAGAGGAAAAGAATCTGAAGCAAAGAAGCCTTGAAAATTGAAAAGTAAAGACTGTGGGAAGCAAAGGCAGGGTCTTCAGTCCAGACATATAAATGAGGTAGTAGATTCAAGTTGAATAACAAGCGAGAACCTCCACTTCAGAGCAGTGCATTCATGGGAAACCTCCATCTGGCCCGCTCGTTCCACTGTGCATTCCATATGGATTCAATCTGGCTGGTTGGACACTAATTTCCAGATCAAAGGACATTTCTAAAAATATCCTTTCTTTAGAGCTGATGCTTGATGAATAAACAGAGTAGGCAAGAAGTCCACAGACCTATTTGATAGTGCATTGTCCCAGCACAGAAACCCATTTCCTCTTGAGGCTCTCAAGGCCAAGAGCATCCTAAGGGAAGGCAAAGTTCGCAGCCCTTGCCAGCACTCCTTAGGCCGAGATAAGATCAGGCAGTGCGCACATAGTCTGGCCCGATTCCTGCGGCCTAGCAGATGTGTCTGCTCCAGATGCCTCAGAGGAAAGAGGAAGACAGCAGTCATGGGAACAATACTCTCGTCAGGCAGCCAAGAGGAAGGAATGGGCCACAGCCATCGGTTCAAACTGCAACCAACTCTCTTATCTCAAACTCCTGCATCCTCATGCTCGTTTCTGAGATGTGGAAGACAGGCACCATTTCTTTTCAGTTAGTCAAGAAAGAATTTACAATAGATTTCTGGCATGATTCCAAGGGTAGGGAATTTAAAAGAAGGGATTAACACTTTTAATGACTACATTCTTTGTGCCAGGTCCTGCTCAGTCCTTTACAATCATAATCTTATTTAATCTTCACCACAACCTTGGGAGTTAATATTATCACCCTTTTACTAATGAAGTAGATTTGGGAAAGTCAGAATGGTCTTAGGTCATAGGGTGGCAGAGTCAGCGGCACTCCAAATGGCAGGGTTTTTCCATACGTTAATGTCATGTCGGGACACGGGCCAAAGGCACAATCCCAGTGATTAACAGGGGAGGCAGAAAAGGCATGCTGGTCCCTGAGGGGAGCTGTGCTGTCTACATGGACTTGTGAAGTCACAAGAAGCCCCACCCAGGGGAAGGCCAGTGCTACCAACCTGTTCCGCCAGCCCAAGTATTGCCGCCCACGTGGGGCATGTTGTCTGGGTCCTCCTTCCCGTGTTTGGGAGAACTCACATCTTCATTACTGTCTCTGTTGATTGTTATCTAAAAATGAAGAATTGAGATATTATCACTATCCCATGACCAGCATCAGAAACTGCAGGACAGAAAGGAGAATTCTTTTCCCCTAAGTCCTTAAGGTATCCATCCCATAACTGAGGCCATAGGGCACATGGATACTAATAGTTCCTGGCAAAAATAGTTTCTACAAGAATTCTAGACCAGCACTAACCAATAGATTTAACATCCATTTGGTTGGGAGAAGACAAATTGAATACATTTTTTAAAATAAAAGAAGCTGGACTGGGTTACAGAACATGCCTTCAGCATTTACACAAGGAGCAAGACCCACTGGAAACAGGGAGAAGGGATCACACCACACAGCCACTCTCCACTGGTTTGAAACGGTCACTGCCCAGTGATTCCAGTGAGTCACAGCAGATATACATTGACCTATTTAATTTTTAGAGAAATCCCATTCTCTGAGAAATGTTATTTTATATAAAATATATGGGACCCCCCCACCCCCCGCAAATATCCATTTTACTTTAGTGACATGTTATATACACAGACACTGAAAACAGCTTATTTATTTTCTGGACCCACTCTGATTTTATGGTGGTATTTTGTAGCTTTCCTAATTCATTTCTATGTTAATATTAGATTTATTATTCTTGCAATTCAAACAGAATAAGCAGCACTTGAGCCTTCCTCTGTGATAGCCTGTGGCTTATCATTCCCTATTTTCATTCAGCACAGACCACCAAAAGGACTGATAACCACACAGAAATTCCAGCTCTAGTGGGCAGTTCAGTAGATACTACTCTACAATAAAAAGAATATGAAGCAGTTACATTTAATGTACCCTATTAGTCTGTTCCCAAATGTAATGATTTTCAGGGCAGACAAGATCAAATATTCATTTATTTGTACAACTAAAACACAGAAAACTGTACTTGCAGGACATACTTCAAAGTGCCATGGGGCCCACAAAAGCCATGGAGGATCGGTCACTGCCCTCAGACTGCATACAGTGGGGGCAGGGAGCTTGCAAGCGGACCTGAAGTATGATTCCAGACCAGCCTCTACAGGCTGGCCCATTCATTTCATTGTTAGGACTGGGACTTTCATTTTGGATGTTAAGATTAATGAAGGCATGTAGGACATTAAAAGCTTTTGCAAATAAAATGGCTATTAAAAATGAATTCAACATAGCCTCCATTGTTTTATATCCAGACTAGTTCATTTCACATGTTCTGACATTATAAAGAGATTTTAATTAACTGAACCTTTCTGCCAATAGCTTTGGCAGCAGTAATAGAAGTTTTGCCATAACTTCAGCATACCTGAAGAAAATTTAGCAGCCAGGACATGATAATTGATATGAATTCCACACACATAATCATGCTCTAAATATGGATGAACATAATTTCCTCTACTTTTTTTCAATGAAAATTAAACTATGCAGAATAGCTAGTAATATTTAAAGAACAAATAAACATTTAAAATACTGTCCCCAAAACATGCCATTAGTTTCCAACTGGTCCAGAGGTGACGCAAGAGGTAAGCAGTAACTTAAAATGTGTACACTGACTACAAGAATTCTAGACCAGCACTAACCAATAAAATTTTCTGTGTTGACGGAAATGTTTACAACTGTTGTATTGAATATGGTAGCCATTAATCCAATGTGGCTATTGAGTATTCAAGGACCTGAATTTTAAATGTTATTTCAGTAAAATTTAAACTTAAATACCTATATATGGCTAGTGGCTCTCTCACTGGACAGCAAAGTACAAGGACAAGTTTGCCCTAAGCCCTGAAAATATTATTTGGAGATTTTTGTAGCATCTTGTAGATGTGCTCCACAGGGAATAAGAAAAACAAGAAACAATTAAAAAATGGGATATAGTTTTACAGTTGCTAATTTAAGAAATCTCTCCCCTCCTCTCACTGCCAGAGCAGCAACACGTCCTCCCCCGGCCGCCCCCACACAGAAGGTCCACTAGCCCCGCCATGGGAGAACTGCTAGCTCTACCCTCCCAGCTACTGGTGGCCCTGCCCTGCTGAGCTCGCACTTTGCAATTCTGTTAGCAGGCTGTGGCCAACATGGTCCCACAGTGCAGAAGGAGTTACAGGAGGTCCGGGCAAACTATATGGAAAGCTGAGTTGTATGGCTCTTGGGCAGGGGCCATTTTCCCCTCGCACGCCCAATCGCAGCCACCATTCCTGTGCAGGGCCCTCCCTTCACACAACCAAATTTTGGCCTGTTTGGGCCTGAGGAACTCTGCTGGCTTCTGATGAACCCTGATGATGCCCCAAGACTCTGGCCCACAACAGTGGTCTCAGAGCACTTGGCAAATGGCAGCTTAATGAACTTGAGATGGTTGATGAGTGGCCTCAGACCCAGCACTGGCTCCCAGTTTGAATCTGTAACACTCTGGCAAACACCACTCATCCCTACCTGGTGACTCACTGAGAACCCAGCTCACAGAACTTGCAGACCCACCAGAGGCTCTTTCAGTGACTAAGCCTAACAGGCACCTAGCTATCAAGTGGAGGCGGATGTCAGGTAGCCTTGGGTCTTTTGCTGATCTGCCCCTGGGCTCAATACTGGTGGAAATAAACCTTGGTGCACAGCTTGGTTCCTCCCTCACACACCCAGGCCAGGTAGAAAATCAAGAAGGAGACAGCGGCCTTAAATGACACACTAGATTGAATGGATTTCATTGATATCTTCAGAGCATTTCACCCCAAAGCAGCAGAATATATACACTTTTCAAGTGCATGTGTAATGTTTTTTGGAACAGATGACATGCTGGGACACAAAACAAGTCTCAATAAATTTAAGAAAATTGAAATCATATCAAGCATCTTATCTGACAACAATTCTATGAAACTAGAAATCAATCCCAAGAACAACACTGAAAAACACACAAAGACATTGAAGCTAAATAACATGTTATTAAACAATGAATGGGTCAACAATGAGATCAAAGAAGAAATCAAAAGATACCTCGAAACAAATGAAACTAAGCACATAACAATCTAAAATCTGTGAGACACTGGGAAGGCAATCCTAAGCGGGAAATCCATAGCATTTCAGGCTTATCTCAAAAAACAAGAAAAAGCTGAAATAAACAATCTAACTTCACACTTAAAGGAACTTGAAAAGGAACAACAAACAAAGCCCAAAGTGAGCAGAAAGAAGGAAAAAAAGATCAGAGCAAAAATAAATGAAATAGAGTCTAAAAAAATGATACAAAAGATCAATGAATCCAAGAGCTGGTTTTGAAAAGATAAACAAGATTGACAATCTTAATCAGACTCATCAAGAAAAAAAGAGAAAGGGCCCAAAAAATAAAATCAGAAATGAAAGAGGAGAAATAATAACTGACACAAAAGAAATACAAAGGTTTGTAAGAAAATATTATGAACAATTATATGCCAACAAACTGGATAACCTGGACAAAATGGATAAATTCCTAAAAACATACAATCTTCCAAAACTAAATCAGGAAGAATCAGAGAATCTGAATAGACAGATTACACCTAGTGAAACTGAAGCAGTAATCAAAAAACTTCCAACAAACAAACCCAGGACCAGATGGCTTTACAGGTAAATTTGACCAAACATTCCAAGAGCTAACACCTCTCCTTCTCAAACTATTTCATAAAATTCAAGAGGAGGGACGGCTCCTAAACTCATTTTACCAGGTCCTCATTATCCTAATTCCAAAACCAGATAAAGATACTACAAAGAAAAAAAATTATAAGCCAATATCACTGATGAACATAGACGTTAAAATCCTCAACAAAATATTAGCAAACCGATACAGCAATGCATCAAAAAGATCACACACCATGATCAAGTGGGATGTATTCCAGGAATGCAAGGATGGTACAACATTCACAAATCAATAAAAGTGATTCACCACCTAAACAAAATGAAGGATAAAAACCGCATGATTATATAAATAGGTACAGATAAAGCTTTTGATAAAGTCCAGCACCTACTTATGATAAAATTCTCAGCAAAGTGGGAATAGAGGGAAGATACCTAAACATAATAAGGGCCATGTATGACAAACCAACTGCCAGCATCATACTCAATAGGCAAAAACTACAAGCACTCCCTTTAAGATCAGGAACAAGACAGGGATGTCTGCTTTCACCTCTCTTATTCCATGTAGTACTGGAAGCCCTAGCCACAGCAATCAGACAAGAAGAAGAAATAAAAGGCATTCAAATTGGAAAGGAAGAAGTACAAATGTCTTTATTTGCAGATGACATGATACTGTACATAGAGAACCCCAAAGGTTCCACCAAAAAAATTCTGGAACTGATAATTGTATTTAGCAAAGTAGCAGGATACAAAATTAATATCCATAAATCATTTGCATTTTTATATGCTGATAACAAACGAACAGAAAGGGAAATTAAGAAAACAATCCAATTCACAATTTATTCTTCAAAAAAATAAAATACCTAGGAATAAACCTAACCAAGGATGTAAAAGATCCATACTTAGAAAACTATAAGACACTGAAGAAAGAAATGGAAGGAAATACAAATAAATGAAAGCACATACCATGTTCATTGATTGGAAGAATTAACATCATTAAAATGTCCATACCACCCAAAGCAATCTATAGATTCAACACAATTCCTGTCAAGATTCCAATGATGTATTTCACAGAACTAGAACAAATATTTCAAAAATGTATATGGGACTACAAAAGGACCTGCATGGGAACAGTGATCCTGAGAAAGAAGAACAAAGTAGGAAGAATCACGCTATCCAATATCAAACTATACTACAAGGCCATAGTAATTAAAATAGCCTTATACTGTTGTAAAAACAGACACATAGATCAATGGAACAGAATAGAAAGCCCAGAAATAAACACACACCTTTATAGTCAACTAATATTTGACAGAGGAAGCAAGCACACACAATAGACTAAAGACAGTTTATTCAATAAATGGTGTTGGGAAAATTGGACAGATATATGCAGAAAAATGAAACGAGACAACCTATTTAT